TAACATATGGTATTGCTACTACTTAATTTAGATCCAGGTAATGATGTCCAATGAATCCAAGATCACTGTTTGGTTATATGTATATGTAAAACCACATATCGTCAGCCCCCTATATCTGGGTTCCACATCTGCAGATTCAACCAACTGAAGATCAAAAGTATTTTTGTGGAAAAAAAACAATAAAAATAGCAACATAACAATTTAAAATGTAAATTTAAAAAACAATACAGTATAACAACTATTTATATAGCATTTATATTAGGTATTATAAGTAATCTAGAGATGATTTAAAGTATATGAGAGGATGTATGTAAATTATATGCAAATACTATGCCATTTTACATGACGGACTTGCACATGTGCTGATTTTGGTATCCCAGGGGTCCTGGAACCAATCCCCCATGGATTCCAAGGGATGACTGTATGTATATGTTATGGTGGCATATCAGGAAATAGTATTTAATTTGGGAGTAGGAGGGGCATACACTTATACACACATGTATAACCTAGGCAAATATTTCTCTTTTTATAAAGAATATTTATGCATTTTAAAAATAAGAATGCAACCTTTAATTGCCTTAGTCTTAACTTTTCTTCTTGTTTTTTAAATAAGCCTCCAGCTGTTCCAGACAATAGAAGACAGGCAGAAAGTCTTTCATTAACTAGGGAGGTTTCCCAGAGCAGGAATCCATCAGTTTCAGAACATATACCTGATGAGAAAGTCCAACTTTTTAGCAAAATGAGAGTGTTACAGGAAAAGAAACAAAAAATGGACAAATTGCTTGGAGAACTTCATACGCTTCGAGATCAGCATCTAAATAATTCATCATGTAAGTAAATCTGGTTCAGCAATATTAGGTAGAGGACAACAGAAGTATGTATGCTGTCACATAATGGTTTAGTAAATATTTGATGAGTGAATGAATATATGGTTCCTCAAGAAAATTATTTGTGGGGAGATGAGACTTGGATGTGAAAAGTTTTTAAGTATCAAGCTAATATACAATAAAAGTCTAATAGATGTAAATCTGTTTTATAATTCAGAGAATGGAAAGAATAAGATTGGGCCTTGAAAAATTGGTAGGATTTTAATAAGGGAAACGTAGAAGAGGAGGTAACTATTTGATACTTGGACATAATAATACTGTATTTTTTAGCATATTCAAAATGTTCCCTTAAGGAAAAACTAATACATTTATTACTTTGATTTAAAAGCCCTGAAACTGTGAAATATAGATTTAGAGAGTGTTTGTACAAAAAAATAATGAGATATGAAAAACTTATATAGTACATATAGTTTAGTGCAGAAAGTCCACAACTTACAACCCACTAAACTTATATTCATTTTTTAAAAATATGTAAATAATCATTTCAGGCAGCTATGACTATAGAAACTATCTTTTCTGCTCTACAGATACTTTACTTGTTCTGTCTAAATCAGACCTAGTTACTAGTCTTTAGTTGCTATCTTAATACCTTGTCAAGCCTGGTCTCTGTCACTTATCCAAATAGTAATGGGGGCTCAAGCATTGGAAATTGGAGTCAGTAGGGGCAACTCCTACTGGTTGTTATTCTTCAACATTCTAGTTGCTCTGTCATTGAAGAAAAGACAAAGTGTAAAAACATCAGCTCTGGAATCCTTGTTTCTTATTCTTCACACATCTGTTTCTCTGCCACCCCTGAAAGAACCTTACTATTCCTGCCCCATCCTCCTTTCTTATATTCCTTTTGTTTCCCTGACTTCTGCTACGCTCCTTCTCTACAGCATAATCCCAGTCCTTATCCTTTACAAACAGATGAACACAACTAAGAAAAACTTAAAATTCAAAAGTCGTGCTTCAGGCTTTGTGGTCAGTTTTGCACGCATGAAGAAAGTAACACTCTACCTACTGACGACTCGTAAATGTCTTTTTTTCCCCCACTGGGAAACAGTGTTAGAGCAGCAGCAAAAGGTAGAATGGTCAAGGAATATAGTGAAGAGACTACTGGAAACCGGTTACAGTTATTGTGGCATTAAAGTGAACAACAAATAATGGTGGTCCCTGTGAGAAAGTTACTGACAAATGACAATAGCTTTGAGGTGGTAGGAGGTAGAACAGTGCACAGATTCTTAATCTTCATTAATTGCCCTTGAAGTCATAAGATATCTTTGTCTGATAGTAAAAGAAATTAAATAGAAAAGTCATTAAGATTTAGATCAAGGACTATAGAGGATTTGCCATCATCTAATTAGAAAATGATGTTGCTGTTTAGTAGTTCATGTATGGATATATCACAGTCACTTTAACACTTTTACTTTGTTTCCTGGAGTAGGAAAACTTCCTTCTTGGTGGCCAGATGTAATTCCTCTGAGCTGTAAATTTGAAAATCTCATAAAGACCTATCACGTAGGGCTACCCTATAAAGATTAGAAATTGAATCTTGCACAGTTATACATAGTGGTCCTGTTTAACTTTACCTAGAACCAAGTTATCAGAGTGCTCCTCTAGTTAGTTTTCCAAGGTAGAATTTCATAATTCTTGTCAATTTCCATCTTGTCTTTTTCTTTTCTTTTGGTTTTAACCAGTAACTATAATGTAAAAATGATAGAGACTCTGGAAGAAATAAGTAAAAATGTGCCTTCTCTGTGCATTTTGATTTGTTTAGTTGTGGAGTATAACTAATGCTAATAAACAAGTAGCCTGGATTTATCCATATGTTTCTAAAATTCAAATCTGCAGAAATTATGATGTTAATGGTTTTTACCTTTTATTTTTCTTTATGTGAGCAAACTGTATAAATCTTGCTGATATCATGCTTGTTTGTTTATGGTAACTGGTAATTTTTTTCTTTTTTGTAGTTGTGCCTTCTTCAGCCTCCCCACAAAGGAGTGTGGATCAGAGAAGTACAACTTCAGCTCCCTCTGCTCCTGTAGGCTTGGCCCCCGTTGTCAATGGAGAGTCCAATAGCCTCATGTCATCTGTTCCTTATCCTGCTGCTTCTCTAGTCTCTCAGAATGAGAATGAAAATGAAGGCCATCTAAAGTCAACTGAAAAACTCCAGTAAAACATTTTCTTACAATCATTGTTTACATAGATTAGAATTAAATAATAGGGATAAATACTGGGTTTTTTTTTTGATTGTGTTGAAAATTATGACAAAACGATATTTATTTAACGTGATAAACATTCTTAAGTGATAGGGTAAATGAGCGGGGTGTGTGTTCTGTGTGTATTATTTGAGTTGTCTAAGAGAAATGTGACATTGTAACAGGCAATTTCTGTGAACTGATATTACTTTCTTGTTTTTAAAATAAAGGATCAGAAATAGGACTACAATTAAAAATATGTCTATATTTAAATGGTTTAGAGACCAGGCTCTAGAGTCAGACAGTCCTGAAATTGTATCATACTCTGTGTCACCATGGACAAATAACTTACCCTTACTAAGCCTCTGTTTCCTCATCTACAAAATAGGGATAATAATATACTTGCATACAAATATGTTTTAAGGATTTGAAAACTGGCATAGTTCCTGGAACTTAGAACTAAACAAATTTGTTATTTTTGTTAAACATATTTTATACTGTACAGATCTCATATGTGTAGACAAATTGGGAACCTTCTGTAAATGCTTAATAATGTCTGCATACCTGATTTGCCTGAGAGGTAATATTTAAATTGAATAATACTTCACACTTTCGATACTTAAGAAACCTGGAAAGATTTTTGACATTGAGTTTTCTGCTATTAATATTTGTACCTGCTTAAAGTGAGTAATTAAATTGAAATTAGTTTTCTTATGCTTTTGTCCCTAACATAACATAAGAAAATAATGTGGTGAGATTTTGAGTAAGCCACACTTGACATTAAACTGAGTACTTTATAGTCACACCCCCTGGATATTTGACTAGGTGTAAGTTTTGTTTGTGCTGGCTGCTATTTTATGAAAATAATGTATGCTTTATTGTGCTAAAATGAGTGTTAACATTTTTTGTTTATCAGGAAGTTAAATGAAGTTCGAAAGAGATTGAATGAGCTAAGAGAATTAGTTCATTATTATGAACAAACATCAGATATGATGACAGATGCTGTAAATGAAAACACGAAAGACGAAGAAACTGAAGAATCAGAATATGATTCTGAGCGTGAAAATTGTGAACCTATTACTAACATTCGGTAAGAACTTTTTTTGTATGTTTTTCCAACATATTTATCCTAACCTAATACTTTCAATGTGGAAAAAAATACCTCATTAGAATGCTCACTATTTGCCTTTTCTTTAAGCTTTTCTCTTGTAAGTCTACTATTTCGGTCAGAATATGTAAAGTATTGCCCTATAAAGAAAAACAAATAGAGAAGTATCAAGTACAGTAGGTTAGTAAATTTGTTGTTAGATCAAATTCAAATAAATCATAATAAGTATCTAACTTAGCATTTTTCTACCTCTTTATTTTAGGAGTAATTTGATTTTTCAGATGTTTGTCTTCTTAAATTTCCAAATAGCACATATACAGAAGTTAATGAAAAGCAGGAGCTGATAATTCAGAGTTTGAATTTAAATGGAATAGCCAATGATGTTCTTAGTTTGAAATTATTTATCAGCAGTTCTAAAACTTTAATATATGTTCTTTTGGTACTTTAAGTAACTTCAGACTGTTTTCTTTCTTTTAGAAATCCACAAGTAGCTGCCACCTGGAATGAAGTAAATAGTAATAGTAACGCACATTGTGCTTCTAATAATAGAGATGGGAGATCAGTGAATTCTAATTGTGAAATTAACAACAGGTCTGCTGCTAACATAAGGGCTCTAAACATGCCTCCTCCTTTAGGTATGATTGATTATATTCACGGATACTTTTGCCATATTATTCTTGTGAAATGGATTTTCCTTCATTAGTATTCTTAAGTTTGTAAAAAAATTATTGATTTCTATTATATATGTTTTCAGCAGATTGTCGATATAATAGAGAAGGAGAACAGGGGATTCCTGTTGCCCAAGGAGAAGATGATGAGGAAGAGGAGGAAGAAGCAGAAGAGGAGGGAGCTAGTGGAGCTTCATTATCTAGTCATAGAAGCAGTCTGGTTGATGAGGCTCCAGAAGATGCTGAATTTGAACAGAAGATCAATAGACTTATGGCTGCGAAACAGAAACTTAGACAGTTACAAGATCTTGTTGCTATGGTACAGGTAAATATTGATTGGTTTTTTAAAAAACTATTTGTCAAATAATACAGTCATAATTATAAAGTAAAATTTGTGTATGTCTGGTAATTATTTTGGTATAATTATACACATTTATTATGTGCCAGCTTTAAATGCTTAGCACTGTATGTGCCATACATTAGAGGTTAGCAGACTTTTTCTATTAAGGGTGAGTTAGTAGATTTTAGGCTTTGTGTGGGTCATACATTCTCTGTCACGTCTCAATGCAAAAGCAGCTGTAGGTAATATGTAAACAAATGAGCATGACTCTGTGCCAATATAGCTTTATTCACAAAAATGAGGGTTTTTTGTTGTTTTTTGCTGAAGACTCTGGCCTTATATCATGTACAACTTTTATTATAATATCTCAGTGAAGTAGATTGAAGAGGTGTTATTATATATAGATAATTGTTTTTTCCAATCTTTCACTATTTAAAATAATGCTCCAGCGAACATTTTTGCACAAGCCTCGATGCATTTGTGTTTTTCAAGAATAGATATGAAGAAATGAAATTATTATGTTAGAGTTTATGTACATTTAAATTTTAATGGACACTGCTTAATTGCTCTCCAGAAAGACTGTATTATTTGATATTCTAAGCAGTGGTATATGAGAGAGCGCATTTCTCCATACCCTTGATGACATTTTATTATATTGGTATAATGTGCTTGTTTAGCCATTGTGGGAATTGGCTTCTTCCAAATTTTTCCTATTATAGTAAGAGTTTTTGAGGGGAAGAGGTGGCATAAACATGTATACAAAGACATATACTTTCTCTGTTGCTTTAATTTTTTAATGTTGTATAAATTTTATAGACCAGTAGTATTTACCAAGGTGTGAATTAGATAATGTCTTTAGGTATCAAGATTGTTTTAACATTATGGTGTTTTAGGATGATGATACAACTGAAGGAGTTATATCTGCCAATACTTCAAATTTGGATGATTTCTACCCAGCTGAAGAAGACACCAAACAAAATTCAAATAATACTAGAGGAAATGCCAATAAAACACAGAAGGATGCTGGAATAAATGAAAAGGCAAGGTATGTTAAGCATTTGGCCTTCATTTAATAAAAATTTAGTGCCTGTCTTAGAGAAGGTACTCAGGTAAGTAATGTGTTATGTTGTGCTTAATGCTGTCATCAGATTTTGTTAGAGTCCATAAATATAATGTCAATTTAATTATAGAGAGAAATTTTACGAGGCTAAACTACAGCAGCAACAGAAAGAGCTAAAACAATTACAGAAAGAAAGAAGGAAACTGATTGAGATTCAAGAGAAAATTCAAGCATTGCAAAAGGCATGTCCTGACCTACAGGTAATTATGAAACTTATTTCTTTCCATTTGTTTGACAAAAGATGTTTAAAACCTAATGTCAGCTGAAAGTACTCTTTTTCAAGAGCTGAAGTGACAGATGTGTATCAATTTTGTGGTTAACGAAATGGATGAACTAATGACATGGGTTGGGGATATACATTTACAATATGAAAGATGCCACACAGGAATTGACTCTGATTATTTCCATTCTTTTACTTACTGGGCAGGCTAGTAGATTGAGAACATAAGTACTTACAGCTATTATATTAAAATATTCTGCTTCAAATTTTGCATTTATGAACCAGCATTTCCATCTTTTACTGGCTTAAAATTACATAATAAAGCCTTTAAGCCACTGCGAGTTATCTAAGGAAAGTAATTATATGTAGTTCGAATATTCAATGTATGTATACTTTTGCTTACTCATTAGTACCCTATACATGGGTCTTTGAGACTGAACAGAGAATAAGATATCTTTGACCATTTATCAGATAATCAGATAATGGAAGGGAATAATAGGAATATTAATAGGAAGGGAATAACAGTTTTTTTTGATATTTTCCTAAAATTTATTGGTTAGCTCTATCTTTAGTTAGATTTTGTTTTCAAAGAAAGAGAAATACATCAAATGACTTGTTTCTAATATAATTGTTTATTTTCTAGACTCTTTTCCACTTTAATCCCTTTTCCCCTTATCCCCCAGCTGAATAATGAAGGAATAATGTGGCAGAGTTGTGTTGAGTATATAAATTTTCCATAATATTTTATTCATATTGTCTTTGTTCTTCCTGAGGGTTACTATTATATTTATCAACTTTAGACATCTTTGTTTTCTTATGTCAGATTATGTTTGGTGATGGCAGTTGGAGTCTGGTAATAACAGATTAAATATGGCACTAGAGCTCTAAAGAAGAAGTAAAATAACTACTTTTATGAAATTAATATAGTTGCTTTAATTCCTCACAATAATTTTTTATCAATTCTTTTTTAGCTGTCAGCTGCTAGTGTGGGTAATTGTCCCACAAAAAAATATACGCCAGCTGTTACTTCAACCCCAACTGTTAATGAAAATGAGACCAGTACAAGCAAATCTGTTTTTGAGCCAGAAGATTCTTCAGTAGTAGATAATGAGGTATTGTAAATTGTACCGTTGTTGTTCCTGAGTTGGTCTTAAGACACATCTTCAGAAGGGAAACTGAGTATCTGTAAAACATGTTTTTAAATGGTAGTTTGTTTTGTATCCTTTAGTTGGGGGAGGAAACCAATTTTTTCTAAATAATAACTATGTTTGGATCTTTTCAAAATATTCCTGTTCTTTATTAGTAAATATTTGGCAGAATTATATGTAAGGGGGTAATTGTAGCAAAGAGTAATCATTTCAGTGAGAAAGACCTATCCTTTGGCATTCTACTTACATGTAATTTGTAGAAAATGTCATAACTTTTTCTAAATAGTTTCTGAAGTATATTTGGGTACTACTTGTTTTTATTAAGAATTAATGATTGCCTAATTTTTCTTATTCATGACTAAAATATTATTTTACATGGATAGCTTAGTATAAAAAGGATAGAGTAAGAATAGGATGTTTTGTTGATACTGACAATACTATTAGCCTGTTATTCTGTAAGGCTAAAGCAAATCCAATATTTACTTGACTAATTTTTAGTTGTGGTCGGAAATGCGAAGACACGAAATGTTAAGGGAAGAGCTGCGTCAGAGAAGAAAGCAGCTTGAAGCTCTGATGGCTGAACATCAGAGGAGGCAAGGTCTAGCAGAAACTACATCTCCAGTGGCTGTGTCATTGAGAAGCAATGGATCTGAGAATTTGTGTACTCCTCAACAAAGCAGAACAGAAAAGTAAGAGAGTTGTATAAATCACTTTTTTTTTTTAATATCCCCTACCTAAGACCTGTAGGCTAGGCAGTCTCTTTTCCCCTCCGCACCGTAGCACAGATGTGCTATTTCAGTGAGGCTAGTGTTAAATATCACTTTTGTGACTTAAGTTAACTGATTCTAGCCACTTTCTCTTCTAACTTCTTATAGCATCAGCTTTCTCTTTTGTTTTAAATTACTGTGGCCCTTGATCAAACGGGTGATATAGATTTCCTTGTATGTATAAGCCTTATTTTCTTAGTTAAGTTTTAAGCTTATAAAAGGAAAGTGCTTGATATTTTGTAGTCTTTTCTGTCAGGCCAGAGAAAAGCACTTTTTTAATTGAACATCTAGTCTTTGTAAGGTTCCTAAAGATCTTAAAACATATAAAACATTTATTTTTTAGGATTTAAGTTTGAAATTTCCATGTTTAGAATATTTCTAAAAGAATTGATCATCTGTAAGATCAAGTACTTGGCTATATAGTAATTTTCAGATCTAAAATTTTGAAATCCGGATTTATTTACGATCTTACCTTTCGATATCCTCAGATGGCATTTCTGGAACATTGCACCAAACCTCACTTTCTTCTTAGAAGAACTTTTCTGCTGGGTACGGTGGCTTGCACCTGTAATCCCAGTGACTCAGGAGGCTGAGATGGGACGATTGCTTGAGGCTAGGGGTTCAGGAACAGCCTGGCCAACATAGCGAGACCGCATCTCAACAAAAAAGTTTTAAAAATTATTAATAGTAGGGTGTGGTGATGTGCACCTGTAGTCCCAGCTACTTGGGAGGCTGAAGCAGGAGGATCCCTTGAACCTAGCAGTTTGAGGCTACAGTGAGCTGTGATGGTGCCATTGCACTCCAGCCTGGGTAATAGAGCAAGACCTCGTCTCTTTAAAAAAAAAAAAATGAACTGTTTTGTGGAAGGCAAACTAAATACATTTCATATTACAGCAATAGGGAGAATATCACCCGTCTCATAGAGTTATGAGTAAATGAAATTTTATATACAGACATGTATATATATGTTTGAAACAATATCTGGCATATAGTAGATGGTAAAGTATTTCGCTTCTCTCCAGAATGATATTTGTTTTATCTTTTTTCTTACCAGAACAATGGCAACTTGGGGAGGTTCTACCCAGTGTGCACTAGATGAAGAAGGAGATGAAGATGGTTACCTTTCTGAAGGAATTGTTCAGACAGATGAAGAGGAGGAAGAAGAACAAGATGCCAGTTCCAATGATAACTTTTCTACATATCCTTCTAACAGTGTGACTCATAACTCCTATAATATAAAGGAAACTAAAAATAGGTTAGTTTTAGTGTTTCAATTTTTTGTTTGATTTAGAGTCTCAGGTCTTTCTGTCTGACTGACACTGAAGTAATTCTGTAGTTCTCCAAACCAGTTTGGTGTGCTATAATTCATTTCAATAATGACACTACCTATTCAGTTAGTGCAGACCCTACAAGTTAAGGGGCTCAGTCCCACAAGACTGCCCTCACTTCAGATGCCAGCCTAAAGTGCATGGTCCCCAGGGTATGCACACTTCGGTCCATTTGGCTGCAAATTTGGGAGTTCATTTGACACCCTCCTTCAGGTTTGGTAATTCACTAGAACAATTCACAAAAGTCAGGAAAACACTTACTTATATTTGCCAATTATAAAGGATTCAACTCATGAACAGCCAAATGGAAGAGGTGTATTAGGACAACGTATGAGGTAGGGAGGTATGTGGAGCTTCTATGCCCTCTCTGGGTGCACCACCCTGACAGTTCTTTGATGAGTTCACCACCCTGACAGCTCTTTGAATTCCATTCGTCAGAGATTTCATTAATGGGGGTTTCATTATGTAGGCATGATTGACTAGATCATTGGCCATTGGTGGCTGAGCTTGGTCACTGACCCCTCTCTGCTCCCTGGAAGTCAGGGGAGTGGTTCTGAAAATTATAACCCTCTAATGACCTAGTTGGTTTTTGTGGTGACCACCACCTCCTTCCCATTATGAAGCTATCCAGGGTTCTCTAAAAGTCTCTTCATTAGCTTAAACTGAGGTCCGATTGAAAGGGGCTTGTTATGAATAGTGAAAGACTGTCACTCAGGAGATGCTAAGGATTATAGGAATTCTGTGTCAGGAACCAGGGACAAAGAACAGATATTTATTGTACCAGAAGGGTGTGGCTGCAATTCTGTGATTGCAGCTGGACTGGATCAAGATTCATGAACTTTCATCTTCACTCTTATTTTTGGGAATTAAGCAAAAATGACAAATTGTAATTAGTGCAAAAGGTCTATCAACAAATGTATTTATTAAATTGTTATTTATAGCAGTGCAAATCTTTTCATGAGTAAAAGATGGTAAAGTAGATATAGTAGCCCCACTTGATGAAATGTTGTGTGGCTAAACTTAAAGCATGAAGAATGGAAAAGTGCTTGTTATATTGTAAATATTTTCATTTTGCAGAATACAAAATTATTTGGACACTTCTGTATAAAAACAAATAAAGACTGGAAAGTAATTAAAAATGATAACTGCATATGGGTAAAAATCTGGACTTCTCCTCTTTTCTATTTTTCATACTTTGCAAGTCCTTTGAACTTAAAACAGAATATTGAGGTCCTGAGTAATGGCTTATGTCTGTAATCCCAACACTGTGGGAGACCTAGGTGAGAGGATCACTTGAGGCCGGAAGTTTGAGATCAGCCTGGGCAAAATAGACCTCGTCTCTACAAAAAATAAAAAATTAGCTGGACATGGCAAGCTCACGCCTGTAGTGCCAGCTACTTGGGAGGCTGAGGTAGGAGGATTGCTCGAGCTCAGGAATGTGAAATTACAGTGAGCTATGATTACGCCACTGCACCCCAGCATGAGTGACAGAGGGAGACCCCATCCCTTAAAAAAAAAAAAAGAATATCAGTCCATAGATCAAGGTATCAGGGCTTATTGCCATATTTTAAAAAATCAAATTATTACATATGATGACTTTTAACGCTTTAAATCTTGCGTTAGGTGGAAGAACAATCGCCGTTTTTCAACAGATGAAAATTACCGTCCTTTAGCCAAGACAAGGCAACAGAATATCAGCATGCAACGACAAGAAAACCTTCGTTGGATGTCAGAGCTCTCTTATGTAGAAGAGAAAGAACAATGGCAAGAACAGATCAATCAGCTAAGGAAACAGCTTGATTTCAGTGTCAATATTTGTCAGACTTTGATGCAAGACCAGCAGGTAAAATTTAATATGAAACTAAATTTTTCTTTTATCTTCATTACTTTTGAAGCAATACAAATTTTTCTCATCGATAGCTATTAACAAAAATTTTCTTTTAATAGACTCTGTCTTGTCTGCTACAAACTCTTCTCACGGGTCCTTACAGTGTTATGCCCAGCAATGTAGCATCTCCTCAAGTACACCTTATAATGCACCAGTTGAACCAGTGCTATACTCAGCTAACATGGCAACAGAATAATGTTCAGAGGTAATCTCTTTCTTAGAAGTATTGAGACTGTATAATAAGAGCTGAAATTGAATGAAGGTTTTACAGTTATCTTCTGGGAGAAATGGGCCTCAAATTGCATATTTGAACATTCTTTATCACCTGAGAGTTTAATAAGCAATGATTTGCCTAATGTTTCCTTTTAATGCCGTGGACTTCTATTTGTTAAAGTTTGTATTACTGAATCGTACACTTAAATTGGGTGAATTGTATGGTGTGTAAATTACACCACAATAAAGGTATAAACAAGCAAAAAAAATTAGTTACTTACAGTTATACCAGCTTTCTGGCAGAAGTGCTTTAGCACTTGTTGTTTAAAGGCTCAGTTATTGAATTAAGCATGTAGAGCAAGCAAGTATTGTAGTATCAGAGTCAGTCTGTTCTGTGTGCCATTGAATCATTTCTTACATATAGTCTTTCTGAATATGCTTTATATAGATGGTAATATAACTGACTCTTAGTTTATTGATGACCTAAATTTTTGTAGGTTGAAACAAATGCTAAATGAACTTATGCACCAACAAAATCGGTGTACAGAAAAACCTGGAAGCAAGGAAAGAGGCAGTAGTGGATCACATCCTCCTTCTCCCAGTTTATTTTGTCCTTTCAGCTTTCCAACACAGCCTGTAAATCTGTTTAATCTACCTGGATTTACTAACTTTTCATCATTTGCACCAGGTAGGTAACTAAAAACCTAAAGAGAAAATAAATAAAATCAAAGTGAGAATGTGATTTCTTGGCCCTCTTGTTACGACAGGGGGGCTCTGTTTGTCATCTATGGTGAAAATACCTTTTCCAGAAAAAACTTCTCTTGCTCTGTGAACCTATCTTGTCCTTCCTCAATAAACTTCATTTCATGCTTTAAAAAAAAGGAATATAATTCATCTATTGCATGGATTTTTAACATTTTCTTTTGGAATGGTAGGAAATGCTTGCGAAGAAAGTTACAAACTCTTTTCTATGTTGTTTCTGTATAATGAAAATTTAAGCTGAATGTGATACGGTTGCTAACGAAGTTGAGTAAACTACTTAGGAATGATTGCTTCAACTTTTTATTAAGGGAGTTAACCTATCCAGTGACTGCTGTACACAAGGGCACTATGTCAAACACTAGGAGAGTAAAGATGAATAAGACAATGTTCTTTTTGAGGAGCACCAGGTCTAGTTAGAGAGATAATACTGCTAGACTAAAGGTGAATATATTTAGCATAGCCTTTTATTCTGACTTTTTTTCTTTGCTCCTAATATGCCAGACGCTATGTAAGTTACTGGGATCTGAAGTGAGGCAGACTCATTCTTTAAGGAATTCAGAGTCTAGTGAGGAAGGAAAGAATGTTAAGTCATGCATATAATGCAGTGCCACGGGTGCTATAGCAGTGGCGCAAATGCTTATGGAAGTGTCAGGAAAGCAGTTTTTACTGGAAAAGGTGATATTTAAGCTAAAGAATGAATAGAATTTATTTCCAGCAAGATAAGAAGGGAAAGGGCTTTCTAATCAATGAAACTGCTTTAAGTTACAAAGCAATGAAATAGTATATCAGGTAGGGAATTTAAAGGTAATGAACTGTTGCTAGTGTTTAGGGCTAAGGCAGGGGAAGAGTAATTGATGTGGCTGAAGAGTGGCAGAGGCATTTTGTGATATGCAAAGAAGTTTAGACTTTGTATTGCAGATAAGAGGGGGCCGTCAAATGACTTTGAGCAGGGGATAGCATGAGATTTATGTTTTAGAAAGATTACACTGGTGGTAGTGTTGAGAAATTGGAGGGAAGGAGCTGAGAGTCTAGCTGGTGAACAGAAGGCTGTTGCAGTAATGTCAGGGACAGAATGATAGCCTTACCTAAGGTATTGGCAGTAAGGGTAAGGAAAAAGAAGTAACTGAAAAGACATGCAGGTAGAATGAATAAATTAAGTGACCAGTTACATGAGGTGAATCATGAAGGAGGAGGAATTGAAGGTGTTTGCCAGGAAATACAGAAGGAGAAAAAAGATTGGGAGGGCTTTGTGAACATAAATATTCTTAACAGTATTTTCAAGACAGTAGCATTAAAAAATTTAACAAGCTTTTTAGGTCTTAAGTGTCAATTAATACTGGCAGTAAACATAATATGAGTAGGCTTTAAGTAAATTAAGAAATTGCATGTTTTGTTCCTTTTCACTGTAATATACTTCATATCTGTGCCAACAGTGCAAAGACTGTTCATTCTTCATAACCTAGTTTTGTGAAGCCTTCCTGAACCCTGCCTCTCCAAGTTTATAGTCCCTTACAGACACACGTGATACATAATGCTATTTGACAACTATCATTTAATTGTATTTTTCTTCCCAAATTAGAGTAGAAAGAACATAAGTTTTGGAGTCATGCAGACCCAACATGTAACCAGCTTTTCCATTTATTAGACACTTGATCTCTAAGCCAGTTTTCTCATTTATGAAATGAACGTAATACCTGTTTCATAACACGTTCAGTATTAAACAAAATAACATATAAAGTACCTACAGTAGAGTCTGGCACCCAGTAATAATTGGATAAATATTAGGTACTATTATTTCTAACTTTTAAGGGAGTGGCAATCATTAGTCATCTTTGTATCACCAATTGCTAAATTATAGTGGGCCGAGCTGTAAACAGTGAAAGAATAAATGAATATTACTTTATTGTAATTGTCAGTTTTTTTGATGAATTTGAATGGCATAATTAATTAAAACTGTCTTTTAATTTCATTTTAAGGCTAAAGTTACTTTATTGTTCTTATCCTTTGCTTTTATTTATTAGGTATGAATTTCAGCCCTTTATTTCCTTCTAATTTTGGAGATTTTTCTCAGAATATCTCTACACCCAGTGAACAGCAGCAACCATTAGTCCAAAATTCTTCTGGGAAAACAGAATATATGGCTTTTCCAAAACCTTTTGAAAGCAGTTCCTCTGTTGGAGCAGAAAAACCAAGGTACTTGATTATGAACATAACCAGTTACTTGCTTAAACATTCACTTTTGTGATTACATCTAATTATGTATAATTTGAAATCACAATTAGGGAGGATGTGTGTGATTGTTTGGCTTGATAGTGCTGGGAATATGAAACTTTATGGTATTACTGGATAAGATACCAGATACCTGCTGGTAACCCTGGTATAAGACAATTCCAGGGTGTCCTGTGAGAGTCATTTTGGAAGAATATGACCTCATTCATAGGGTGTCTTTTGTCCTTGATTTGATACCTATCTTTAAACCAGTTCACTGTTCACTGACTTAGGACTAGAAACTAATATTCACTGCTAGAGGATAGTTGTTCAGTGATGGTCTTTTCATATTATTCCTAGCCCCAGATTAGAATCAGTTTCTAAAGCCCATTCAGATATACTGTTGAGTACTATTAGATTATAAAAACAACTTTTGTTAAGTTTTGATGATGCATGGTATTAATCATAGTTACTATTTTTTCCCTCTCTGTTTTCTTACATTTATTATTTTTTAATGTGATAATCTTCCAAAATACAATTTTTGACTCAAATAATGTGAAAGATTGGTTCAGGCCAATCACTCTGTAGGTGTTTTTATAGCTAGATAAGTAATGTTTTTAATGATTGTGTTAATCCAGTAAATGATTTTAATAGCCAGTTGGTGAAAATCATATAGCATTTTTATTATAATTGTTATTTATTTACTTAAGAAAAAACTTTTTAGAAGGATGAAAAATTAGAGGTCAATTGAGCCTAATATTCTGTCAGAAATATTTATGATGATTTTTCCTAGTCCTTTGGAACTATGTAATTCACACTACATTTCTCTTTAGCTTTGCGTCCGGGCATGTCTTAGGCTCTTAAATTAGCATTTGGACCGTGTTTAATTGTTAAATCATGAACTTTGGGGATGTTTTAACTGATTAGAAACTCTTAGAATTCCAATTTTGTATTCACCTCTAGGAATCCTGTGATTAACCTCCCTGTCTTTGTTGACACCTTCTTTTAGCTGTCTTAACTACTGTTTCCTATTACATCTCATGCTCTCTAAAAGTATTCTATCATCAGAGCCTAACAGTGTTTAGTGTGCAATTGTCATTCAGAAATGATGGTTGAATGAGTATCTATCACAAGCAGTAAACATTTATTCAAAGCTTCAGTGAATAGGCCTTCCTACTGGAAGGTCTCTGCTTCATTATTATCCATGTTTTAAATATAATTGATAGTAAATAATTATTCTAGTTTTACATTAGGTATTTATACCATTTTTAGGAAGGATCTGAGTATCTAATATTGTTTTAGCTATTTGACCTACTTCAGATTAGACCTCATCTCTCAAAATCTCAACTATCATAGGTTCCTTGACTTAAATGACTGGAAATAACAAGAAGTCAGATGAAACCGTGTAGTCTTGCTCAGGGGTCAGTAAACTTTTCCTGTAAAGATCTAGATGATAAATATTTTCGGTCTTGCAGGCCATACAGTGTCTATCCTAGCCATTCATCTGTGCCATTTTTTGCACAACACCAGATGTAGTATGTAAATATGAATGGGGCTGTGTTCCAATAATACTTCATTTATGAGCACTGAAATTTGAATTTAATATAATTTTCATGTTTTATAAACTATTTTCCTTCTTTTAATTTTTTTTCCAACCATTTAAGAATATAAAAACCATTCTTACCTTTAAGCCATACAAAAAGAGGCAGCAGGTTGAATTTAGTTTCTAACCCTTGTCTTGATTTATACCCTGTATGTCAGTGTCTCCCACCCAGACTATTCTTAGGAACACTGTTGTTGTCCATGCTAGGTTCTGTGACACAACGTTTTGAACTTCTCACTCACTGCCCCCTAAGATGTTTATAAAGCATGTTGGCATATTAAAAATTTTGATATCTTACAGACCTATTTAACTTTGTTTTGCCTATTTTCTTCCAAACTTAGATGACCAGTGATTACTCATTAAATATTAAGGGATGTCAGTGTTCACCAGATAAAATTTGTGAAATGACACTAGTCCAGCAGAACTAAATTATACTGAATGAATGGAGAAACAAATTGCTAGTTGAGTGACCAATTGTTTTCACCATATTCTGGTTTTATTTCAATTGCTAATTTAGGTGACACAGATCCATGTTATGTTCCCAGACCCTCTGCTACAGCTCTTTTCCAGCCACTCTTCTGTGTTTTTTTCTTGTATGTTCCATCCTCCCTTGATTTCTCTTTCCCACTGTTTTTTATTTTCCATCATGAATTGTTGGATCTTTGGTATGGAACTTTGGCTAGTGAAAATGGTTTAGTGAGAATGGTTCAGAATTAAAGCTTAAAGTAATTTAGTACATTAGCCTATGTAATATTTGCGTATTCAGTGCATATTTTTGGGTAAATGTTTTTACAGCCTGTTGACTATATTATCCACCTAAATCTACTTGTTAGTAAACTATAAATTAAGTTCATCTGGAATTTTCAGTATAATAAGGAACTCTATAATTATAATTTATAAAAACTTGTTTTCATTGTTAAGGAATCAAAAATTGCCTGAAGAGGATGTAGAAAGTAGTAGGACACCATGGTTATATGACCAGGAAGGCGAAGTAGAAAAACCACTTATTAAGACTGGATTTGCAGTGTCTGTAGAGAAAACTGCAAATGGTAACCGCAAAAATCAATTAGATACAAGCAGGAGAAGACGCCAGTTTGATGAAGAATCATTAGAAAGTTTTAGCAGTATGCCTGATCCGGTAGATCCAGCAACAGTAACTAAAACTTTCAAGACAAGAAAAGCATCTGCGCAGGCCAGCCTGGCATCTAAAGATAAAACTCCCAAGTCAAAGAGTAAGAAGAGGATTTCTACTCAGCTGAAAAGCAGAGGTAAAAATATTGGTAAGTATTGAAATTTATTGAATGTTGATCAACATAAATGTTGATAATCTTACTGAGACATGTTGATACATTTAATTTCATTACGGCTAGATGGCAGCTGCTGTTCTAGACCTACTTGAACAGTCATTTTTAATTACTTTTATAATTTCTATTTATAAAATACTTCAATATTTGAAATTGGGTTTAATGGTGTAGATTAATGTTGTAAAACATGGCATTTATTCTTTTTTGTATTGAAGCTGCTTATGTTTCCTATGTATGTGATTACCATGAGCTCAGAGGATGTTCTTCAAATTTTGTAGGTTATTGAAAAATTGCCAGAAATGTCAAGCTTTATTATTCTCTCTCTTTTGCTACTACATCTGGTTTTGCATCCAACACTTTAGCTGTAACTTTTGGTTAGATTCTTGATTGACTCATTTAAAGAAGTGTGGGCTTCTAAATACATTGCAATTTTTGAATATCATATAGATGAAACCATTTTTAAAACAGGCTAGCTTTTAGTCATTTAGGAACTAAACCTCTATTTTATTAAGTCTAGCCATTGAGTATCATATTAAAGTTCTCTTTATGGTGTTAACTGCATACCTTTTTTTAATTAGATAAGTAGTGTTTATATGATCATAACTATACTAATATTCGTGGTTGAATGTATCATATACTGTGATTACCTTTCCTATCCTATATACATTTTTCCCCTTTAGGATTGATGATTGCCTCATTTTTCTGTGCATATTTTGTTCATATCTATGAATCAATCACCAGACTCTCTAAGGGAAAAAAAATTTCTTTATATATTCAGATATTTCAAATACATACCACTTATCTTTTTTTGTCTGGAACACTTCCCTCCCAGAGCTCACCTTCCTTCTGTTCCATTCTGGACTGCTGCTTTCTTGGCCTTCTGCACAGCTGTCATCCTGGAGATCTTTTTTAAACATAGTTCTGGGAATTCTTTTTACCCATATGTGTCTTTCATCCCCCATTTTTCGATCTCATCCTTTTTCTTTCTCAATTTACTTTCTTGTTTTAGTGGAATATGGCCTCTAGGAGCTTTCTTAGAAATGGTGTATGAGAATATATTTTTGGGTACATTAAATATTTGCAACATTTATTTGCTGGATAGTTTTCCTGTTTATAGAAATCTAAGTTAGAAAACATTTTTGCTGAAAATATTGAGGACATTGCTCCATTGTCTTCCAATTTCCAGTGCTACAGTTGTGAAATCCAGTGCCATTCTAATTCTTGTTTTTTTGTGGGATGTTTTTATTTGCTTACATTCAAAAGCTTTCAGAATCTTCTTTCTTCAACGTACTGAAATTTCACAGTGTATACCTCTTTTTCTAAAAATAGGTTTTTATGATTTTTGAAGAATTTACTGATGTCTAGTACTATGTTAAAAATAGTTTTATTAAATCTGTAATATTATGGCTAAAAGATATTCTTTTCAAGTTTGCAAGTGGTACTTTTTGGCTGTGGCCTTGAGAGGTGGTACTGAGTTTATGGAGATAATATTTGGTGCTTAAGAACAAAATTTTCAAGGCTTGTAATCAGGAAAGTTTGAAAAATCACTGCACTCTGCCGAATCCCTCTTTTGAAAGTTCACAATACATATAAGCATAGTAAAGGCCATACACTTGTAAACTTTGGCAGCATTCATCTTCATCATTTTTGGGTAAGGGAACCTTTGAAAAATCTGATGAAAATCATAGATGTAAAAGAGAATGTTTGCATATTTTTTTCCTATCAGTAATTCACATGTCCTTGAAGTCCTTGGCTTCTGGCTCCTAACCCATGTGAAGAATCTGACTGATGGCTAAACAAGCAGATTTGAACAGGGGTGACATTTTTCTCAGCGCACACATTAACATTCTTGAAATAATTTTCCAGTTATAAAGGTCTGGGAGAAGTTGATTTATTTAGTTAAGTTAATCAGTGATCTCGAACCATTTAGGCAACTGTTAATACTGTGCTTTCTCCAAGATTATTTTTGGTGCCACCAGAGAACATTTAAGTAGATAATGACCATTTTAAAGAGGCCCTTTAGGTAACTCATAACTTTTTATTCCCCCATAAAAATGGTTTTTGTCATATGAATAAATGAAGAAAAACTAACATTTTTAAATTTTAGCCTTCTTTTATGAGAGTCTGATTCTTATGTATTGCCAGTATTGGTCTGCGGACTACACTTTGAGTAGCAAGGTTTCTCCAAAACCTTAGAAATGTTGGTGCCTAGAAATATTGGTGCATTTGTATTTTTTGTGCTCTCTTCCTTCATATTTAAGCATAAAAATAAAAGATAGCAGAATCAAACTACATATAGTGGAGTCAGATTAATATGTGTCAGAATCAAATTAATCGGCTAAGTCTTTGCCATTCAAAATGTGAACCATGAACAACAAGCAGCACTGGCATCATCTCGGAGCTTATTAGAAATGCAGACTTTTGGGCCCCACCTTATACCAACTAAATCAGTATGGATTTTTCTTCAGTATGCATTTTGGCAAGATTCCAAGTGTTTCAGTATGAATATATGCATATAAAAATCTGAGAAATACTAAGCTAGACCACTGATGTATGTTGTTTTTGTTCTTTTTGTGGGATAGGAATAGTTAAGATTTGTTTGGAAAAAAGGATGTTTATTCTGTCTCAAAGGAAGTGATAAATGGAGGTGGGTGGAAAGAAGATTGGAAAGCATTCCAAATTGTAATAACAATAAGAAAAATATAGAGTCGGGAAGAAGCAGGATGACCCGAATTGGGAAAGGATAAAGGACATGACAAATAGACCAGCATAGTGGGACTGAAATTACTGTCTTGAAAGATAAAGTACAGCCACTTATACTGTCACAAACTTACTAGACTGAACTGTTCTTACGTTTTTTGTACATGTTGACAGTCTTTCAGAAGTGGCATGTTAAATCTTCATTTAAGTTTCCTATGGTGATATATACTTTAATCCTTAGAAGGTCTTTATATGTAAAAATAAAAATTGCATGTGAAGTAAGAATTTAGAAATTATGTAATGATCATCTTTTAAACTTTAGTTCAAATTTAGACCTTGTGAGTTGAGGGTGATTTCTTGCCTTGCTGGGTTTTTCACTTGTCAGACCTATAAATTAGGTTATCAGACCTATAATTTGGTTACACTGTGCCAGGCCCAGTCCCTCTTTTGATATTATTAGAGAGGAGTGAGTAGGAGCATATAATATAGATTTTCTTCATTCTCTTCTTGGAAAATTGGATAGAATTGTTAATGTACTGACTTTGGGTTCTTACCATCCTTTCTTCTTTCCATTTCTTCCCTCCTCCCTTTCTTGTTGCTCACTGATGAAGATTGGCATGAAATGGATGTCAAGCATTAAACGAGGCTAGGCCTGACAAATTTGGCTGGTAGAAAAACGATAAACCCATTTCACATTCAGACAGTTATTACTTACATGGGCAGGGAAAGGAAAAATAGACAAAGGTGCCAGCTCTCTGTGTCTCTTGGTGCCTTGAGGGGCAGGACACCCTGCTGCTGAAGAGTCAGTTCTGTACTGCAGCTAAGCTGTTCTGTAGTCTGCAGATATGCCCTTGAAGGGTGAGGCAGAAAGGTCTGATGTTTTTTTGTTGTTGTTTTTTTTTTTTATTTTTTTATTTCAGCATATTATGGGTGTACATATGTTTAGGTTACGTGTGTTGCCCTTGGTTCCCCCCCCACCGAAGTCCGTGTTTCAAATATGTCCATCCTTCAGGTAGTCAAGGTCTGATGTTTTATCTGAACCTGAGAGAAGATGAGAAACTATCTCCTGACAGCATCTGAGAGAGAGAGGGAGAGTGGGAAATGGCCACATAACAGCTTCTCACAAGCCTCTTGTGTCCATGGCCCAGAGGATCATATGGCCTTCTGCCAAGACTTAGATTTAGCTGCGATTCAGTCCTTACCTCTCTGGCCTCTTTGGACACATGCAAGGCCTCCAGGGTGCCATGGCTGAGCCGTTTCCTTTCAATGGAGGCAAAAGTAGTATTGTTTCTTCTAATTATGCCAGCCACTCATGCTGAGAAAAACAGAAGGAAGATAAGGGAAGGGGTGCTGAAGTGGGATAGGAGATAACACCCTTACAGTAATGAGCATTGTGTGTTAGTTACTCCTGCTGTTACTCTGAAGTATTAACCTTCATTAATTCTGCTACTCTCCCTGGATGATTACTGTTAAAGTGCCCAAGAGAATAACAGTTCAATCACTCATCAGTACCTTAACTTTGGAAATCTAGCCCATGATATTTTTAATTTGGGACTCATATGTAAAATCATGGTTTTTTTCCTCTATTTATAGCATCTTAATAACTATGGCAGGCTTCTTCACAGTTTCAGCTGTTTTGGAGGGTGACTGTATGTATATCTTTTTTAAAGTGCATACTGGGGCTCCCCAAAGAGAATTTTGTATATGCCACATAACCTGTATTTTAATTTCGATTAAAATTCATTCAGCACTTTTCATGTGATACAGTAACAGCAGTCAAAAGTTTAATTTCATTTATGTAAATGTTCTTGTTAGAATAACATACTTAACATTTTTTTCTTCAGAGCATTGCATATTATTAAATGAACAAATAGACTGGCATAGTGGGACTTAAATTACTGCCTTGAGAGACAGAGACAGTAGTACTACCAGTCATGTCATTTTACATATTACTTATGGCAGTCACACCCTTTGTTGCTAGATGAGTTTTATGTGAAGATCAATAGTAATGAAGAGGGCAGGGCTCTTTTTTTAGTAAGTTTCATGCAGTTTGGGTAGGAGTGGCTGGACCAATGAAGAAACCAGGAACTTAAATTTGAGACAGTGAAGTCCTAACTTGAATGATAGCCTTAGAAATAGAAAGGTAGGGTTGAATCCAGATAGGATATCATAGAGAATGAATTAACATCTTGCGGAACCTATTTGTTATTAGCAGAGCAGCTGCCGTGATCTGGAAGATGTAAGCAGCAAAGCTTTTTGGGTTCTGCTGGCTCTTCCGTAGAGTGTCTGGGCAAAGATCAGAGCTTCTTGGTTCATGGAGAAAGCTATGTTGGAGGAGATCTATGCAACCCCTCCTATTATGGGCCCTTCCCCTCACCTTTAGGAATAGCAATCTTTTGCCACTTCAGGCTACTAATAGGCAGGTGTGTTATTAAACAGGTAGGTGACAATCCTCTCTACCCCTGCCCATGGAAGGGCATTAGTCTTTGCAGGTGAGAGGACTAAGCGAGAGAGAAGCTTGCCCTCATTGTCTAGTTTGGAGACTGACGACTTGCTAGCCGGAATGTTGCTTGACCATAGGAATGAGATCACATACTCTCAGCATGCCACCATTAAAGCTACCCGGCATTTATGTCTGGCCTTAAGGGAAAGTAAGAATCATGACGAGGCCAGTGAATATAGCAGTGCATATAAAAGGGACCTAGTGACCAAAGAGAAGACAGAAGCAGACTATAACAGGTGAAGCCTAGTAAAAACAGAATTGTTGAAGGAAATACACACTTGAACAAAATAATAAGGGCACATAAGCAGATTGAATTATAACAGATTCTTTAAAAGTAGAAAAAATGATTTGTACTTTTAATGTTTAGGTTATTTGAAAAAGAGGATGCATGCTATTAAGTCCCAAATTACTGGCCTAGAAAATCAAGGGGAAGAATTATGTCATTATACAGAACAAAAGTATTAAGAGATAAAATCAAGAGGAAAAAGATTAGAGGCTTAAAGGCAAATCTTGGATATCTGATATACAGAGAGTTCTAAAGGGGAAAAAAATGGAGAGGCAATAATTAAATACATAATAAAGGGGATAAAGAAAGACTTGAGATTGCAGATCAAAATAGCTGACTGTTGTCCAGCCAGGAGGGAAGTGGGAGAGAAAAATACAAACACCTATGTATAGTCTGATAAAATTACTGACTTAAAGTAAAAATTTCCTAAGCTTTCATACAAAAGAACAATTATATAAAAAGAACCAAACTGACATCAGTGTTACCGTACAAGTAGAAGTAGAGGAAGGTGAAATGACCCATACACAGTCAAGAAAGGACTATAACTCAGGAATCTTGTATTCAGTCAAGAGACCCTTCACCTGTCAGGATGAAAAGAAGATACTGGTGTGTCCTAACCGAAGAAAACTACAGAAACAACATATGAATCAGAATAGATATCTTTATATAGGGGAAGGTAAAGAAGAGAGGTACCAGTTCAATAAAGAAAACAGATCAATCTCACTAATATAAATTTAAAAGTAAAAATAAAATACTAGCAAATAGAATCTGTCATTGTATCATAAGAATATTAGACTTGTTACTAGGATTCATTTCAGAAATATGATTTGTTACCAGGAAATCTGTCAACATAATTTATTATATCAAATTAAAAGGACAAAAGTCATATAATATAGCAGTAGATCAGATAAAATTTGAAGTCATTCCTAATGAAAATTCTAAATAAAATGGGTCTGAGAAGGCAGATATTTAAATATAATAAAGACTGTTAGCAAATGTCAATCACAAGCGCCATTGTAAATGAAAATACTGCAAAGATATATCAAAATTAGGAACTAAACGGGGATTCCCCTCTCTACCACCACCATTATTTACCATTGTTTGGAACGCATTATGACAAATAATTAAATAATTAGCATTATTATTAAATAGTTGGAATAAATACTGGAAAAGGAGAGAAACAAATTCTATGTATTTTTTTCTAGTAGTATTTTTGTGTACTAAGAGAGCCCAAGAGACACTGGAAAATAGCTACTAGAGTTACAAGGTAAACTGTTAAAGTGTCTGGTTATGAAATAAGTATGCTCGCATTTTTCCCTGTGATAGTAATATTCAGTAGAATGGAAGTGGAGGGGAAATATTCTTCTCATGGTGAAAGGACAGTCTTACTAATGTACTAATAAGGAAAGATAAATTTCTAACTGGCAGCCACTTAAAGTAGCATAAACCCTGTGTCTAAGGTTAGTAATATGAATATCTCTCCACGACAAGTCATAGGAAAGGGTGAGATATTCAAACTCTTTAGAGAACTTTGAGGAGTCAGCTGAGAAGCTGCCTAGTTTAGTTTCTATTTGAGACAGATCAGACAGAGAAAAAGGGACATGGACTCGGAGCATGCCCTCTGTGCCAGCAACTTCCCAGGCTGGTCTTGAACCCCTGGCCTCAAGTGATCCTCTCACCTCGGCCTCCCAAAGTGCTGGGATTACAGGCAGGAGCCACCACACTATGCCCTATGGATATTTGTATAGATTGAATTTGATTCTTTTGTGTATTTCCTAATATTGAAAACCTGTTAACTTGGAGTCAAGTAGAGAATTTGGGTCATGTGAGGTCTGCCATATACTTTGAATTGGGCTGTACTCATTAGTACAGATAATCAAAGGGCAATGAAGTGTAGAATTTATTACTGTTACCCCATGCTTCCAAAGGTTATTGCAAAGATATCTCTAAGACGTAGTATTTACTGTTTTGTATTCTGTTTATACCAGGCTGTCAACAGCATTCTAAATTGAGTTACCTGTACTGTTTCACTATGGAAATCAGTTTCCCTTTTAGTTTGAGTTAGTTGCAGCTGATAACAGTTGTCACTCTTTTTACTCAAGGATATGAAAGTGCCAGTATGTCTAGCACATGTGAACCTTGCAAAAGTAGGAACAGACATTCAGCCCAGACTGAAGAGCCTGTTCAAGCAAAAGTATTCAGCAGAAAGAATCATGAACAGCTGGAAAAAATAATAAAACATAGTAGGTCTACAGAAATATCTTCAGGTATGTTCTTTTTTGGTTTGCCTTAATTTAAGGAGGTCATCTTAGATTTAAAAAGCTGTATTAAAGCAAGTTTTAAAACTGGTCTATCACACATTTGTGTCATGTGGAAGGTTTTATAGTAGAGATTACAGTGCACATTCATTGATATTAAGAAATGTGAACCGGAAATATTTTTTGTTGTGATACTAGTTTTTGACACATTTTAATAAAATTCTTTCTAAATAAAGGATAGTTGACATTAATGTGGAACTAATTTGAAATTCTGAAAATCTTACCTGAATAAGAATTAGATGTGAAATCATATCACCCACCTGCTTAAAACCTTCGGCTCATCATGCCTACAGGATAAAGGCCGAATGCCTCAATGTAACATATATGGCCATTGAGGATTTTGTTCCGTTTTGCCCTTCCAGACTCATTTCTTACCACCCTCTGCCTTGAGCCTTATTCTTTCAGAGGCACTAAAGATTTTTAAAGCTGTCACACTGTTTTTTACTTCAATAATTATTTTTTTGCCTCAAGTCCTTTTTGTGCTTTGTAAGCTCATTTCTCTTTTGGACTGTTAGTAAAATTTTAATTCCAGAACCTTGAAATTGCATTCTAATCCAAGCTGGGGTTGCTTCTCCTTTCTCCTTTTTGTTTTCATTGTAGCCTGTGTAAATCTATTTTGTTGCCTGTATCATATTATATAGTATTTACCTGTTTAAGTGTCTGTATCACCCTTTGAAGTCCCCTGGTAGCAGATAATACTTTTTCATATTTATATCTTAAATTTCTGCTTAATACCTGACACATGATAGGTTCTTTGTGTTTATTGAATGAATGGAATTGTGTATTTGCCACCATTCTAGTTTAAGTAAGTATCAGTACTTTCCTGATTTATAAAGAAATACATCTCAAAGAAATATAGAGAAGGAGGCAGTAAGTATAGACTCATAATCTCAATTGTCAAGACCCATGTTGAAAATGATAACAGCTACTACCATTTGTATTATGTTTTATTATTTACAAATTACCAACACATCTCTTTTGAACCTCATAATGTTGAGTTGGTTATATTTCCATTTTTCAGATGAGGAAACATGGTCAGAGAGGGTACCTGTTTTTTTCCATCACTGATAAAGGGCCAGTAATATAATAAACTGGTACAACTTTTCCGGAAAGCTTCAAAAGTCATGCCCTTGATCCAGTAATTTTACTAGTAGGAATCTATTCTAAGGAAACAAAAGTGGACAAAAAAATTGGGATTTAGTCTTGTCTGAACAATATAATTCTAATATATAAACAAAAATGTGAATTAAAGACTGGAAGAAAATGTATCAAAGGGTTAATTAATAGTGGTTTCATCATCTTTAAACTTGTCTATACTTTCTAAAACTTTTATAATGAGTATTTATTATTTTTGTAATCAGGAAAGAAACATCACATTTGTTTGTATTTTGAAATGACTTCCTCTAGCTCAGATTGCTAGGAGATGGTAGAGCTGAACTTTGAATCCTGGTCTCCTGTAAAGTCCAGGATCCTTTTGGCAAAAATGTCAGTTCTATTGTCTCAAACCTAGAATGCTACCAAAATTTTATAGTTTTCATGTACTTTCACTGTCTTTACCAAGTAGTGATATCTTAGAATAAATAGTTGAGTGTAGGTTGGGGAATAGCATTAAACTGAAAGGCTAATAAATCAAGGATCAGTTATTTAAAAAATTAATAATTGGTCATAGTAATTCAAACCTTATTACTGTCAGTTGGAAAAATATAATGATTGAATTTTGGTGAATTAAAAAATGTTTGAATAATGTAAATACATTTGTGTGTATTTACATATTCACATTCTAAAAAGATTTATTTTTAGTTGTAACTATCACCCTAAAATTCTTTACAGCATGGCATTTTGTAACTCTACCCATGGTATGTAATTACTAGAGTGTAGCATATATGACTGCCAGTATTAAATTACACGGTCATCTTCTCCTTCAGGAGTTGTGGGAGGTTCACCCTGATGCATATACTTCTAAAAACAAATGATAGAAGTTTATTATGTTAGTCATTGTCAATCACATTAATCCAAATTTATAACAAACTCTTTGAGATCTTTTTCTTGGTGAGATTATTTTTAAATAGAACATAGGCCGTATCTTGTGATAACATTTAGTTCTGGCAAGCAGTTTTGAAGAAATTTGCTTATTTCTTTTTTTCATTCACTTATTCATATTATAGACCCTGTCTTTACTACTCATACACATTTTATGTTCATCCTTATGTCTGCCCTTTCCTACAGCACATGCTAGGAGAATACTACAGCAGTCTAACAGAAATGCATGCAATGAAGCGCCAGGTAACAATCTGCTTAGTTTTGGTGTCCACTTTTTGTTAATTTTTTTCCATTGGTCCTAAAATTTTTCGTTTTATTGTTCTGACTTTTTTTTAGATTTAGCTTAGTGTATATATGTTATGTAACTATTGTAAAAGTGAAAGAGAATCCATACTCAAAATTCTGAAGGCTTACATTTATAATTCTTGGTTGGTAAAATTGACTGCTTTTCTTGTTTTCTTTTTCTGTTAGTTTATGTGACCTAACCAACACATTCATAAGGGTAATAGAAACCTTTTTTTATGA